GTTTTGTGCTGTGTAACAGCAGTACGAAACGCATATTGCCAAGGGGTTTTCTGTGTGTGTTTGTGTGTATGTGTGTGTGTGTGTGTGTGTCCGCAGCAACTTGTTCACAAATTTCAACTCGGGAGCCACAAAAGCTAGGAAGCTGAAAATTTGGGGAAACGTTCCCCACCCACGTGTGACCCAGCAAATTTAAATCCAGCCTTCCCTTACCCGCAGGTAACTCGTACGGCCCCGTGAAATTTTTTTACGGGTGAACCAATATCTCAGTAACCACGGAGTCTAGGAGGCTGAAATTTTAGAGTAAGAACCCATTGCCCACGCTCAACCTTGCCCATTCAAATTCAGCGTTTCCGCGCTCTCGGGTATCACCTGCTGACTAGTGAAAATTTTTACGGGTAAATTATTATCTCGGGAATCACGGGAAGATATTCACCCTTCAAGATTTCGAATTCAGCTTTCATGCGCTGATGCATGAAATTTTTAATTATTTTTCAATGTCTGAACTATTTTTGCGTAGACTAAAATACAAAGCAGTGAAAATCATCAATAGGCAATCGGTGGGCTGAACTGCACAAAACGCAGGATTGCACCGGCTAGTCTGGTGCGCGTCGCTATTTAAAAATCGTACCCCTCGATTTCAAACATGCATTTCCTTTATAGCACTTTCACTCTATGCGACAATAAAGAAGCAATATGCCAACATCCTGGGTGACTTATTGGGTTTTGAAAACATTTATGAAGACAGCATTTTTTGAAATAACCTTTGAGCTGGACGTCTGAAAACCAAAGTCAAAATCGGATAGAGCGGTGTTGAACTCATTCTGTGACGCTGCTTCAACACCAATATCCGGCTTATTTGATACACTGATTTCGTCTAAATTTTAAAAAATCTGAATTCCCCTTAAAGTAATAAATATCTGATGGAATTTTTGGATAACTTCACAATATCCTGCTTGTGATACGGTAAAATGTGGAGTGACAATATTATTTAAAATGAAGCCTGTTAAGTGACATCACTTTGCCAAAGAGTCCTAAAATAATTTAACGGTAATTGTTTGCCAGAAAAGTTAAAACCCACCTGAAAAAAAAGCTGCCGAAGTATTATCGATGATGAAGGACTGAGAAAAACAAACCTTCGGTAGGTGTTGCAGCTGTTATTTTTTGAACAAAAATATCATTATCCGTTGTCAGTACAAAATCCTTATTGGTTGGTTCATCACTACTCAGGCTGACATAGCTAACAAATTCCTGAAAACACACGGCCATAATGGAACTACTGAAAAAGAAAATAAAAAAATTCGCGTTGGCTGAAAATTGGAGCGAAAAATGCTCCTGCGCTTGCCGTTTCATTTATACAAAAAATGAATCCATAAAAACCTGCGTGGAAGGCGTACGTAAGAAGTCTTAGGACAGTGAATATTT